AAACGGGCTAGCAACTAGGCACGCTTCTCGCGGCTGGCAGTTAGCTATAGCTATAGCTATAGCGAAAGAAAGAGAGCGGTTATATATGTCCGTCTCTCTCTACTGCTCGAAGCTGGCCGAAGCGCCGAGCGCACACGTACACGGCTGTTCGCCTTTTTGCGTATCCCCTCCACTTGCTGTTGCATGTTGCTAGCGTCCGCAAACTGGCATCTCTGGTTGGTGGTAGGGATGAGCACATGATATCGATATATCGACAATATCGATATAATTCTTTTGATATTCGATATTTTAATATCGATATTCTGTTATTGATAATATCAAAAAGGTATCGATAATTTTATTTGATATTGAATATCGCATTGTTTGATCGTAATTATAGGATACATTCTGATTGGTCAATTTCCTTACGGCTACGTCTTACGATCGTAAGTAATTTTGTGTGTGATGGCCTTTAAGAGCCGTCTACAGCTGTGTTCTAGAATTGCTGCCAGCACGCTGCCAGTGCTAACATTGTATAATATATGTGACGTAAACTATAGATCTTTAGCGCTGGCAGTGAATTTTGGAACACAGCCTACAATGGAGAGTTGTAGGCCGTAATAGTAAGAAATTGACCAATCACAGACAATGTACAGAAGAATAATCGATTGTGATTTGTCAATTTCTTACTGTTACGGTCTAAAACTCTCCATTGTAAACGACTCTTTAAGAGCCGTCTACAATAGAGAGTTGTAGGCCGTAACAGTAAGAAATTGACAAATCACAATCGAGTATTCTTCTGTACTTTGTCTGGGATTGGTCAATTTCTTACTATTACGGCCTACAACTCTCCATTGTAGACTCCCTTTAAGCGAGCACTTGTGGCATGTACCTTTATTCTCTAATAAAAAAAAAAAAAAAATTTCTTCTATTGTGCAAGAGGCTTTAAAAAGAACTTAATTTAATCTAACCTAGCTTAATATAACCTAATTTGTGTTATAAACACGTATGTATATAACGGTTTTAGCTATGATGTTTTAGCTTAGTTTATGTATACTGTGTAACATAGTGCTTCACTGTGAAGTAAAAATATTAGAATTTAGAAATGAAAACGCCCAAGGACAAATCGAAAGATTTCAAAAGTAAGCAATTATTGTTGTGTATATGTTAAAAAAGCACGTACACAGCGCGTCATTGAATCGCGGAATAGACGTGGTATCGGAGAGCAAGCGGGGCGGTTGCTCGCCAACAAGCGCCGTACGAATCGTACGGCCCGCTTGCCCTCCGATCCCCGCAACTATTCCGCGATTCAGTGACGCACTGTGTACATATATTCTGAATTACAAATAAACTTTATTTTCAACCACAGTGCTATGGATTCGTTTTGACGAAGACAGCTCGGACAAGCATCAGTTATTTTTCAAAGAGCACTCTATAAGAAATCAACAGCCTGAATATCCTAGGCATAAAACTCTCTTTTTGTTAAATGTGCCACCATATGCAACCAATGATAGTTTGAAAAATGCATTTACTGAACTTTGTGGACAAGTACATTTTGTTACATTTGCGAACACAAAGGGATTCAAGACTGCATATATTGTTTTTGAGAAGGAATCTTCTTTAAATAAAGCACTAGAACTTTCAAATACAAGTATAATTACATTGAATAATGATAAAAATCTGTGTCTTACAGGAATAAAAAGTAAGTTACAAATTTTTTTTATAAATTCTCTTTATTGTAATTTATATTTTTAATCTTTATTTTTTTTAAATAGAATGGTGTAAAGAATATAATGATTCCATTTACAATGAGAAAACATTAAAACAAGAAATAGATGAGTATATGTCTGTTTATGACAAGCAAATAGAGGAACGTATTGCAAAAGAGAAAACTACAGAAGAAGATGAAGAAGGTTGGATTACTGTAACAGGTGGAAAGAAGAGAGGGCAATTTGCACCTTCCAGAAAAGAATCTACTATTGGCAAAGTACAACAAAAAGAGGAACAACGAAAGAAAAAGAACCAGTTACTTAATTTCTATACTTTCCAAGTTCGCGAATCAAAGAAGCAAAGTAAGTATAAAACTACAAATTGCGACTCTTTCTTACGTAGCAATACAAATGTTGTTTTTTGTTCTCTAGATCTAGCAGAGTTGCGAAAGAAGTTTGAACAGGACAAAAAGAGATTACAAGAATTAAAAGTAAAACGAACATTTAAGCCATTTTAAAATGTTTTTATATTAATAAGTTATAAAAATGTGTAAATTTTGATAAAATATGTAATAAAAAGTGGCAAACGCTATAAGTATATAAGTAATCACAAAACTAAAAAATCAAATTTATTAAATATTTATTAAATTTATATCAATTATAAAAACAAATATTTATACACATTTACATTTTGCATGATAACAGTTTTTATGTACAAATGTTTATTATCCAAGATAATTAATAGACTATTGTCACATAAAGCATCTTCTTAAGCTGCTTTTGTTCCGTATGTTTGTAAAGTCCATTCTATCAAAAAGTGTTGATATGACAATGGTTGTAAGAGCAGCAGCAATTCCTCTGTAACAAATAAATACATATTTATATGTCACAAATTTTATGTATTTTATGCGATACTATTTTTATACATATGTATACATACGTTTATTTCCATAAATACAGTTTGTAGACATGGCTGCATTGATGGCTTGTGCAAATCGCTCCAGCGCCAAGTCGCGCGATGCTGTATCTATATTTGGACGATTTTGTAGGTTTGTTGTTAATAACCGAGTAATAGAAGCTAAATGCTGTGCTGATATTGCATGTTTGTTAGTACTGCTGTTACTTAAACATAATACAGAATCCATGAGCAACTGCTGAACTTTTGAATAAAATTTTCGTAATTCTTCGTAATTCTCTGTGTTCTCTGTATCACGCAGAGGACTTAATATACACCATCTGTAATAATATACACAAAAAAAAAATAATAATTTGATAGAGATTTTACTTATTTGTATTTTTTTTATAAATAATTATGATACAGAAATACCTAAACAAACCGGCTATTGGTGTTATCGGTGTCATTGGGATGCCACCGCTAGGTAATGCTGGATTGTCTGTCAAAGGACTCAGTAGTAAACTTGGATTCTCATCGATCCATTCACCTATCAATCTAAGCAGTTTAGTAGGGGGATCTTTATCTTCATAAACTTCACCTATTGCCGTTAGTAAGTTGGCAGTAAAATGTGGTGCAAATATAGACACCTGCTTCAGTTTGTCAATGGATTGTGGAGTAAGAACAAAATAATCATTGAGTACATGCCTTGCCAATCCAATACTTTGCAACGAGATAGAACTCAATTGCTGCATCCAGATGCCAGCTGCGTTCAGGACTGCTTTGTTTTGTGTAACTATTGCTAGAGATACCAAATTACCTAAAATCTTATGTTTTGAACTATCTGCTGGAAAGAGTGACAAAAAGAGTGCATTGCGAACTGCAGGAACACCACCTGGACTTTGAAAAAAGTCACTCATAATCTCTATCAATTGCAGCTCCTGTATTGCTGTAGTCATGTTACGTTTCTTTCGCCTTTCTATCTCCCCAAATATAAATTCCGATATCAGGTCCATTTGTAAATCTACCTGCTTGCCAGGTCTGCAGCACAGTATTTCTTCAACCAAAAAAAAAAAATAATAATGTATACATATGTAAACTTTGATCAAAAAATAAATACACATTAGGCGTGTCTATTTCAGTTACATTTTTCATAAATGCAGTGAAACTAAAACAAAGAAACTATTACTAACGAGGTAACCTGTATTCATACCGATTCTACACAAAGCTTCCCTGGCGCAGTAAGGGAAATCTAGTTTCCTGAGAGTTTGTTTTATATCATTTCCGCTCATGATAAATGCGGATTGTATACAGAGATAAATTATTTGATCTTTGCGTTCACAATTTTCGCTTTGACAACAGCATGTGTATCTTAAATACATATGCGTATAATATATGTATATGTCATAAAGTAAGATTGTGAAGCAGCGATGAGGGCGCCATCGCGACGCGCAGCGTCAGCGACTTAAAGGCAAAGCGCGGACGCCTGCCAGGATGGTGTCGCCGATGAGCCTTACCGCGCAGTGGTGCCACCAGCGAGTAGGTTGCGAAGCGCATTATTAGTCAAAACAATCCGCCGAATTCGTGATCTATTTTTAGGTCGCGCCCACCGGAGCTACGGTGTATTGCCGTTTTTCCCCGCAGGCCCGAAAAAAGTTAGCACGGCCGGTGCCCTTCCGCGACGCTGTCTCGTATTCGCGATAAGGTTCAACGACCTCCTATCGTGATTGTGACAAGGCAAGGGAGCCGTGCGGCCGAGCGCGGCCGGCCATGTTTATATCGTGGTGAGAATTCACGAGCCGTGCGCCGACCTAGCCGACGTGAGCGACGAGCGGGACTCTATCTGCACGTGCGCCTGCCAGCGCGAGGTCTCCGCTGCGCGTACGAGCTGAACTCAGGAAGCCCGAAGTCGCAGCACGAAGAACCTACCTACGGAAAGACGATGGAGTCGTCCGAAAGGGGTAAGTTCTAAGAGAAATGCTAAACCCCGCTTGTGGGAAATCGCGGCAATATTGAGTCTGCTATGACACAAATCGCACGACGCCCCCGGGGGCAATGGCAGTGTCAGGGTCGAAACGGAACTAGTTCAGTGACCGCATTCGCTCGGGATAACCGCGCATTTCCACATCGCGTTTTCATCTACGTTAAATCCGCGGTCGACGGCCGACACCCAGCCGTGGACATCGCTACGTACTTTATCCACGGAGTTTCGTGAAAATCGCCGTCGCTATCGAATCTATGTCACGCGTCGCGCTTTTGGCCGCGACTGTACCAGCTGTCCTCCTCCTCGTCCTCCTCCTTCTCCTCCACCATCATCACCACCACTACTACCACCTCCTTCTCGCTTCACACGCTTCGCTCTCTGTCTCGCTCGCGCAACTTGAGCACGTCCGACAAGAATGGAGCGTACATTGCCGCCTCGGGGCATCATCCTGCGGATCGCTCTCGCACGTGGAATTGACTGATGTTGAGAAATCCAAGAAGGCTATCCGTACGCTCTTGTTTCTCGTCGTTCGCAACGACTTATGTCGATGAGAGAAAAAGAAAGTGAGGGTGGATGGAAGAGAAAGGGGTAGATAGAGAGAGAGAGAGGGGGGGGGAGAGAGACAGAGAGAAAAAAGAAAGAGAGTTTCGACTAGCTTTCTCGAACGTTCCGCGTTGCGCAACATCACAGTCGTAACTGCGTGTCTTTAACCTACATAGGGAGCGAGAGCGTGCGGTGGCAGCGAGCGCATGGCGAATCGGAGTCACGGTGTCGTTTGACAGCGGCGCGCACAGGCACACACGTGAGAATTATTATCACCTGACCAGAGTCCGGCCGTAGTGGCTGGTTAATGGCCGTGTGCTGTATCGCGACGTGGCGACACCTGTCGACCGCTCGTGCGCGCCCTACCTCAAGTTATCGCGAATTAACCCTCCCGCATTATTCAACCCTCTTAGTGCGCATGATGCACGATCGCCCTAATGCAACTTCCCGATATGTTCTTCCAATCATAAATCGAAGCTGGAAATATCTTCATTCTTCACTGAGAAAATGCAGAAATTTTTTTTTGTTACATGTCTCACCTTCTGTAAGAACGATTGCAGAAGTCTTTATTTATAACAATTTCCGTATTCACTTGTCACATACACTAAAATCATCAAAATTGATTGCATGAAAATAATAATATTTATGTTTACTATAAATAAATAATCTAATATTACTTTACAATTTAAAAAATTAAAACCGCATTAAATTGCACTGTTAACCAGAGAAGCGCACATACTTTACACACATCATACAAACACAATCGTAATTGTCAGCAGCCATTTTTATCGTTAAAGATCATTTCTAATTGGTTGCCTATCTGTGAGAATGTTACACTTGTACTTTCATCATAATTACAATCATTCGCACAGTTGTATCGAATATCGAATCAACACGTAATTTGTTCACTGAATCCAATATTTATTTCAGTAAGCTTTTTTTACAACGAGTAATTTTATCATAGCGTATAAATTTGCATCGCGCTTTGCACAAGTCAGTCATTATACGATTATTCTCATTTTATATCACGAATGTTTATTAGCTCTCTCTCTCTCTCTCGCTCTCTCTCTCTCTC